GATTTCTTTTTCGTTGCTTTTTCAACGCCTCAACCCACCTATAGTTAATTTGTCCTTCTGGGTTTTTAATATTCCCCAAGAGTTTTCGTCCCCATAAGGAATTTTATTGCTTAGTGTAAACCATTTTTTTACTCACATAAAACCCGAAAAGAATTTAGCAATCATCAGCTGTATTCGACTTTGACTCATTGCCGCCCATAGTATAAATATGACATTCGACAAACACCCCCATACCATAATGCCTTTGCGTCCCTTGGTATCTGCTAGATAACCCCAACCCAGGGAAGATACAATCATTCCTAGAAAAACAAATCGAGATTTAAATTCAAGTCAAAAAATTATATCCTTTAAGTGCCTACCACATGATGTGATGGCATTCAAAATGCCCTTATCCATTAGACTCAAGTCCAGGTCACATTCCGCACTGGGCAATATAAATGAGATTACTGCAGTCTCAATAACCCCCGCCATCATGGCTGGAAATGTTGCCAGCAGCAGCAGAATATTAAAACGGCCGAATCCGGTTGCTTTTATGGCTGTTTCATAATCCGCTGGATGTTTGGATGCAGGCGGTGATGGTGGAGGACTCTTTTCATCCTTAACGGTTTGGGGTTTCTCAAAAAAATCTGTAATATAGGTAACTGCAAAAAATCGAAATTATTATTGTTTATTAAGATTTTCGATCAGCCTTTAGCCTGCTTACATTTTCCTTCACAATCCATTTTGAAGGTATATTTTCAATTCAGTTATTAAATTGTAGCACCTCAGCTCATTTCCGAATAACACTTTCCTGGTGATATCATTGACGACTGTTTCGTTAATGATTTCCAATTCTGGTATTCTAAATTTCGTATTTGTTTTGTTTTCTTGTCATCAATTTTATCTTTGGCAAATACAGCAAAGATGTTCTCCATTCAATTCGAACACACCGCTGAAGAGCTGCTGATAATGTAAACAACTCATTATGTTTGAAATGTAATCGAAGACGAAGACGTGGTAGCATTGATTTCTGGGAACCTAGAACTCATTATAAAACAAACATACAAATATACTCGTATATGATAATGGCACTTGCAACATAATATTTTTTTGGAACATTGGGAGCTTTCCGTCAACGGCATGTTGTGTTGGCAGCGACAATATTTTTAACTCCCCTCACCTTATGATGAAGTGTTTATCAACATACAGTTTTTAGAAGATCCACACAATACAGGATTTGAATTTTGAACCATATAAACCCATAAAATAGAAAAGTCGTTTTAAATATCAATAGCTGGTTATTGTTAGTTCCGTTTGCAACATCTCGAAATATTTACTGAGATTGCTTAACGTCCACATATATATGTATATATATATATACATTAGTTTGGAGAAAAAGAAATCCATTATTTTATATGAACTATAGGACTTTGTTTAACATGCTTCGGAATGTCCGATTTGGGCCAAATATGCACAATTTTGTTGCCATTTTAAAGGTAACTTCATAATGTCTTTCGAATAGAAGTCCTGCTCTCTATTTGCAAAAAAAAACTCCAGTAGTCGCTTTTCACAATCCTCCCTGAATACCAAATGTTTATCATTGCAGAAATTGCAATGCAAGAAAACTATGATAATCGCTTGGTTCCAAGTCCGGACTGTATGGTGGGTTAATAAAACTTCCCAACCGAGCTCCCGAAGTTTCTGGCGAGTCACTGTAGATGTGTGTGGCCTAGCGATGTCCTAATGGAACACGACACCGCTCCTGTTGGTCAATTCTGGCCTATCCTGTTGGCCAATTCTCAATTGTAAATAGTTTAATAGAGTTTTGTGCTCGATTTTAGCTCCTGAGCGATGTTACGAGTTCTAACATGCCGGTCAACTTCGATAATTTTTCCGATTTTAATGTCGACATTTTCGACGACCGGGCTACCTGTGTGAGGTACATCTTCAAAATCAAAAATTCCTAAACGGAATCTACGAAATCAAAATTGCACATAATTGACTGTTACAGTATCGGAACCATAAACACCATTCACAATTTCAGCCGCTTGGTTTGCATTTTCGTTTTTGACAAAGAAGGACTGTAAAATATACCGAATGTTCACTTTCATTTTTAACACCCTGTAACTCACAACTGAATGCACCAAACAAAAAACAGCAACATAATTTTTACTGCGAAATGTCACCCTTCCAACGAGCATAAATCTGAAATTGTTTGATCGATATTTTACGAGAAATCTATCAGTACAGCCATCTGTCGAAAAAAATAAGGTTTAGGTTTTCTACAACCTAATATAATCTTGATCAGAATAAAATTATATGTCTAGTTAACCATGTCCGCCTGATTGTCTATTGAAATCACGATTGAGCTCATTTTGCATAGACATAGCTAGTACCTGGAATATATTGATCCACTATTTAGGGTTAGCAAATTTCAGTTAGAGCCGAAAAACGTTTTAGGTGTATTTCTAATATGGGAACTATGCAGCTTTTTACTGGAAACCCGTTCCTGAACCCAAAAAACTACTAAAAATTTCAATCAAATTTAAGAAAAAACAAAACAAAATGGTTTTCTCTTTGTAAAATTTTTTCAAAAAAAAAGTCAAAATTTCATATTATCACAATTTGGATCTTTATATATATATATATAGTAGCGAAATCTAAATCGGAAGCGATTATCACGAAATTTAGCACACATCATTCTGGACCTAATTCGAATGATATATAGGGACTTTGGTGCACCATTTACATAAAATCGGACAAAACTATATATGGGAGATATATCCAAATCTGAACTGATTTTCTCGAAACTTAGCACATATATGATTCTGGACCTAATTAAGTACTCAATGCCAAATTTCGTGCAAATCGAAAGACATGTAGGAACTTTGGTGCACCATTTACATAAAATTGGACAAAACTATATATGGGAGCTATATCTAAATCTGAACCGATTTCATTCAATCTCAATAAGGTTCGTCCTTGGGCCAAATAAGTGAACTGTGCCAAATATCATCCAAATCGGATCATAAATGCGACCTGTACTTTGTTTACAATTTAACATCTACAGACGGACATGCATATATTCTCAAAAGGAACCATGGGTCTATCTTAATTCGTTTTGCCTGTTACAAACATATGCACAAAGACATAATACCCTGCACCACAGTGTGGTATTTTTACTAAAATTTCATGTTGATGATAAAAATTTAAGATTTTAGTCTCACCTTCAACTAAATTGGCTGTAATCTGATATTTTGAGGTCAATTATCAACTTTGGTCCACTATTTAGAGTAGCTCCCATATAAAGGATATTGGTACCAAAAACTACCAGTATAGACTCAAGTTTCGGTGTAGGCCACATATAAACGGTCCCCGAATTATTCGGCATTTTGACCAAGTTTTTCAACCAACTATTTCGAAATTAATTAATATATGTCATAGTTGTATACCCTACTTCTAAGAATTTAAATAATTAATTTTATCTTATGTTTGAATTGCCAATTTTATTTGATTTAAAGAATCTGATTTTAAATTTGTAATCAGTGACCATAGATGTACAAAACAAGTTCTTCAATCAATTTTCCTGTTATCTTGGTATTTCTCATTAGCTATTAAATCTAACTACCAAAATTATAAATACTGGACTTTTTTTAGGTTAGCCGCCAAACATCTGTAATTTTTGGAGTTTGGGTACGTTTATTAACTAAATTGGTTTTATTATTTTTATGGATTTTGATGTCATATAAATATTCCCTCAATCGCATTTTCTAAATATAAACCGATTTTAAAAACTGAATACACTACATTCTAGACAAATGCTGGGGATTTAGATGCAATAGTACGATGAAATATATGAGAGCTATACTTAAGGGGAACCCCCCCCCATTCTCGATTTTAATTTTTCAAGATTTTCAATGGGCTGGTAAATGAATACAAATGCTTGTTAAGGTTTGTAACCTTGCACATATATAGTTGAAGATTTAAAAGAGAAGAAAAATAATTTACAAAAAAAATTTGTTATTGTTTTGTTATTGTTTTTTGTAATTAAAGAAAATTCCTTATTTTTGATGGCAGGCATGATAACTCCTCACTGGAACATCGGAATCCGAAAATTCCAACGGTGTTAGAAAGAGTAAATGTATGGCTCTCGTATGAACTAGGATTATTGACTTCGCTCTAAAATTAACAAAATGGTGGACCATTGAAAAAATATTTTTGAAAAATAACCGATTTTTGACCAAAAACCAAGTTCAAAAATAAGGAAGATCTTCACCGATTGGCTTTATCCTAGTTCATACGAGAGCTATACACTCCCAGAGAAACGTTGCAAAATTTGGAACCAATTGGATTATTAGTTTTTGAGTTATCGTGCCCGCCATTCGCAAAAAAATGTTTAGAGAAAAACGCGTTTAAATTTTGAGAACCCCTTCAGCCGTCACTTGATGCTGACACAATAAATCGGCTACATCTTCAAGAGTTCTTGAGATTTTCATTTGAAATTTTGTAGAGACATTCTTTAATCAGTGTAGATTCGAATTATATCAACAAAAATTTTGACCCCGTAACGTAAAGCACTTTTTTCACTCCGCTCCAAAACATGAGGTATGAACACTACAGAAAATCGTTCACCCCACATTTTTTTCTTCATGTGCGGAAATAAAAGTCATTGGATTGATGGGTGACCCAGAAATTCTACACTTTGTCCGGTCAAAAATATGTCATGGTGCACAACAATTTCATTTTTTTATAAACCTCTTTCGAAGCCCGATGATATGTTTTCAAATTTGCATCGGACCAATCGACACGACGCATTTTATCCATTAAAACCAAATTTTTTTATGACCAGGAGTTCGTGCGAATACAAAAAGTGTTCAAGGATGCCTATATCTCGCCTGGCGAATTTACATTATCAGTTCATGTATGATCGAGCTACGTTCGAGTGGTTTCTGATCTCAAACACATTGTATTTTCTTGTTTATTTTTTTAATTCATAACAAATTTATTTCAATTACAACAATTCATTTAAGTTCCAATTTACTAGTATTTGGTAATATTGCAGCACATATGCAACCAACTGAAAAAATAACATTTTATATAAAAAATATATACCAGATCCTGCAGAACAAACTTACTAAACAAAACGGCTCCAACCATAATAAACGGTGGTATACAACCAAATGAAATAAATATTGGAAACATGACATTACCCAATAACGAACCAATGCGGCCAACCATCATCGCCATTGAAACGATTAGTGTTCTGTATAAAAAATTTCAAAAAAAGTCCGAATTTATTATTCAAATATTTTTAATAATTAATTTTAGTATAATATTATAAATAATTAAGTAATTTACCTTAAACAAGTTGGGAATAAATTTGCCGAAGCACCAACAGCTGATGTATTTGCCATACCACACAGTGCAACATACAGTGAGGATATTATTAAAGTTGCAACTGAAGATGAGGACCAATAGAGGCCAATACCGCAGACACCGGCACAGGATAAACCAATAACTGGAAATAAAAAAATAGAGTTTTATTTATTTTCTTGTAATAGGATGTATTGAATTTTGGTATTTACTTTGTATTTGTTTATTGCCAATGACATTCACCAGACTTCCAGCTATCAGATAGGTAACCAAACCTACAGAAGCCACAACAATATTATTGGTATATGTGGCTGGAGTTATGACCTGAAAATTTGGGAAAGACCTTTAGAGTAAGAGGCATGGATTTTTTAAGGAATATTTTTTCAAGGACCTTCCAACAGAGGCATGGGGTTTTAATGAATATTTTCTCCATCCAATGCGTGAATTTTTTAAAGAATATTTTTTTAAAGACCATCCACCAAAGCGTGGACTTTTTATAGAATATTTTTTCAAGGACCATTAATTGGGGTTGGTTGTTTTGAAGAATTTTTTTTCAAGGACCATTAATTGGGGTTGGTTTTTTGAAGAATATTTTTTCAAGGACCATTAATTGGGGGGGATTTTTTGAAGAATATTTTTACAACGTTAATGGTTCTTTATTGTTGAAAACTGTTTATTCTAGGTCCAAGGTTTTTTAGAGAATATTTTTCAAGCATCTTTAGAATAATAGGCGTCGATTTTTTTAATAATAATTTTTAAGGATCCTGAGAACAATACGCTTGGATTCTTTAACGAATATTTTTTAAGGATCCTGAGAGCAATAGGCGTGGGGTTTTTAAAGAATTTTTAAAAAAAGTGTCGTATTTTGAATGCCCATTTTATGCTGCAGGATATAAAATTCGATCCTAACGAACATTTTTATTTAAATCATTAAAAATTTCTACTTACCACCACACACTCCTCCACAACATTTTTTACAATTTCAGTTTTATTGACACTATATTCTAGAATCGTATTTCGTATTTCAAAGTGATTTTCAAATATTTGAAAATGAAATCTAATAACCAACATTGGCGTCAACACAAAATATGTAAGCGGACAAATCATCAAAATTAAAGAACAAAACTTAGGAAGGTCCATTCGCAGCATAAGATATATCTATCAATATTTCTCGAGGTCTCAATCAGGTCATTGAATATATTACTGTACTTAACGTGATTTGGCGTTTTGGTAACTCCGAATACTTGTCCATTGAGTGGTACTTATATTCATGGACACCACCCCAGGACTCTAATATCAAGGGGTTCTCGAGATTATCTCATGGTTTTGCGATTGCTGGGTGAAAATTAAAAATTCTGTAACCTTGAATGATTGGAGATTCAAGGTTACAGATTTTTTAAATTCATTTTCCCACCGTACTTCAAAATCCCGGGACTTGGAGGTTTAAATACGCATTTGCATAAATTGCTTCGATATAAGCCTTTGTTGGGACGGGACTTTTGTCATCCGCAGAATTGTTGGTTTTTAAGTAGTTTGAATTGTCTAATCGATTGATGTGCACATTAAGTGATGTGATTTTTGTAGTCCCTGTGGTAAAATGTGTGAAGATGGCGTGCATCGAATTCCTTTTTTAATGTTGAGGGTATCGTCTCCCAAATTTTCCCTAGGCTCGGGATGATACCGGGCTATTCACCTCTGATGAAGTCCTTGTCACGCCTTTTACAGCTTTCGGGGACGATACAGGTTGCTACGAACAAGTTATGTGATTATGCTCCTGTCTATAATCTGCTAAATTCAGTAGTTATTGGACATACCAGAGCTTTTACTTACGTTAGTTACGACTGCGCAGCTGACGTAAGAATTTTATCTATTAAGAAGTCACCCGCAATATCATTCTGATAGTTCCGCGAAAACTTCAAATTTAATTTGTATATTCCTCTTAATTAGAAGGAATTCCTTGTCAGTGATCGAATCTCTATCCCGTTCAATAAACAGGTAAATTCGCTAAATCTTCTTGTGAGAGATCTCATTGGCGTTGCTGTGTTTGGCAGTTTCTTATGTGTGTGATTCGTACATCGTTTCGATGGGAGAGTCATCAGTGATGTGATTTTTGTAGTCCCTGTGGTAAAATGTGTGAAGATGGCGTGCATCGAATTCCTTTTTTAATGTTGAGGGTATCGTCTCCCAAATTTTCCCTAGGCTCGGGATGATACCGGGCTATTCACCTCTGATGAAGTCCTTGTCACGCCTTTTACAGCTTTCGGGGACGATACAGGTTGCTACGAACAAGTTATGTGATTATGCTCCTGTCTATAATCTGCTAAATTCAGTAGTTATTGGACATACCAGAGCTTTTACTTACGTTAGTTACGACTGCGCAGCTGACGTAAGAATTTTATCTATTAAGAAGTCACCCGCAATATCATTCTGATAGTTCCGCGAAAACTTCAAATTTAATTTGTATATTCCTCTTAATTAGAAGGAATTCCTTGTCAGTGATCGAATCTCTATCCCGTTCAATAAACAGGTAAATTCGCTAAATCTTCTTGTGAGAGATCTCATTGGCGTTGCTGTGTTTGGCAGTTTCTTATGTGTGTGATTCGTCCATCGTTTCGATGGGAGAGTCATCAGCAATCTCTAAGGCCAACTGCCTCAAAAATCCGAGACTTTTCTACATATCGTGGAGATGGAGTTTGGATCTCCATCCTCTTTTGCTTCTTCGCAAACCCTTCTGAATAAGGTCGAGAAGAAGGTCCTTTTGCAGAATTGCATTGCCGTCATCGAGAGCAATCGGCTTCGATGAGACAAAATAATGATCCAGTAGGTTAGCATTGGTCGTCATCGTTTGATAAGCTTTTTCTCTAACCTTGTGGAGTTCGAGACAGAGAGTGCCAAGACAGCTACAACAACATCAGTCAAAAACTTGCAATCTGTAACATTTATATTTTTTCATAGAAGTTTTGTTAAGTGAGAACTCGGCAACTAAGCCCTAAAAACTTGTTGAGTCGCCCAGGTATCAACAAGACTCCGTTCGAATACAGTCGGGACCCTGACCTGCAAACCGTGAACACCGATGGGCATAAGGTCACCTAGCACCCCCGGCCTTTGGGAGGTCACATAGAAAAACGTGACCTGACAGTTGGATATTTGGAGGGCCATTCCCACCTCATCTGTCCTGGGACCATATGCACTCGTTCATTTCCTCCGAGACTCTCCCCCAGGACCCGCTTATTGTCCGTGGCTATTTGCAACCTGTGAACGCGTCCGTTGTTATTCAGCTCTGCCCCTGTAGATTTGAATTCGTCATAGATGTTAATTCAAATTTAGAATAATTATTTTTTGTGTGGTCTCCGATGAATCTTTTCAGATGTTGCAAATGACAAATTGAATATATGATTTTTTCTATGTGTTATTGAACATATTTTCTGGGATAATGGGAAATATTGAAATGCATTTTCCCCCCTCGACAATTTCCGTCAATAATTTACTTACATAAATCCGCCAAAAAATTTCGCCAGCATCAGTTGTAGAATATTTTGTGATATCGCTGCACAGATAGCACATATCGCATCGATCAGAAATCCCCAGATAAGTAAATTTATACGACCCTTGGTGTCGGATAGATAACCCCATGCAACGGCAGATACAATCATACCTAGACAATGAAAATGCAAAAAATAATTTTATTTAAAAAAGAAATTATCATTATCTTTATTCAGACTTTACCTCCATAGGTGCTGTCATTCAATATGCCCCCTATCAACTAAATCTAAATTCAAATCACATTCGGCACTGGGTAGAATAAATGAGACAACAGCAGTTTCAAATACTGTTCCCATAGTGGCTGGTATGGCGGCCAGAAGTAGGATAATGTTGAATCGCCCAAAACCACATACCTTTATGGCGGTCTCATAATCGGCTGGTGTTTCAAAATCAAGGTCATAACCATTAAGTTTTTTGGTGGGATATACTTTGGGAAAATTGAATTTATTTATTTATTAATAATTCATTTTTTTAATAACAAAAACTATTACTTTTTGAAGCATTTTCCATCGTTACGGGAGTATTTGGTATGGACGCCATTTTCTGTTTTTTTTTTAATTCTGTTGTTGTGAAGTAAATTACATTGTTAAGTTAATAATAGTTTCTTTTGATTGCCGCAGATTTCTGGATTTTGAACTGTTTTAGCTACCGTTTTCTATCTAACTGATGTAAATGGCATATTTTTTCCAGTTCGCCTAATATCTTGAGAACACATTTTCTTATCCAGCGTTTTATTAACTTTCATACTTTTTATTGGATTGTAAAAAATCATGCCATTGACTTTACAACGTGTGTTTGTATTTTTAGCAAAATAATTTTTAGTTCCTTTTCACACACTTATAGCACAATTGGATTTTCTGCTACTGAAACAATAGGCAAAGTAAATTTTTGGGGAAACCTATATATGGGGCAGGGCCCATTAGGCCAAATATGGATTTACATTGAAATAGTTCCGGAAAAATTGTTCCCCTCTACAAAGAACTCGGAATGTTCTTTGCTTTCTAAATATGTATGCATCTCCATAAACCCGCAATGACTTATATCGAAAAAAGTCTGCAAAGACTTTGTTCCAAAATCCAATAACTCGAAGTGCCAAATTACTGCCACTTCGATGGTAAATTTCAATTAAAACCTTAAAAATTCTGAGTAAACGTGGGTGGGTTACATTTAAAAATACCGAAAATGAGTAGCAATATATTTGATGACAAACTATGTTATACCGTACCGTTCTATACGAGCTATACAAAATTTATATACAACCCACCTTAATCTGGTCTCAGAAATATAACTTAAAAAAACGACGTTTTACTTGGGTTTCAGAAATATATCTTTAAAAAATCGATGCCTTATACTAAACTCTTCATTTGTAGATCGATTTAAAGCAAATATCAATCGGACACCCCTTGACTTTTTGAACCCGAATAGACGTGAATCCGATCGAAAATATATATGGGCTATGTCTGAATTTCTACAAAAAGCAATTACGTCATTCTATACACAATTGTGCAATTTCGCGTCAATTTAACAAAAAGTATGAGTTAGGGGTACCATATACTTATAATAGGACGAAAGTATATATGGGAGCTATATCTAAATCTGAAGCGATTTTCACGAAACTTAACACACATCGTTCTAAAAAAATCCACGCCTTAATGGGCTCTCAGGAGACAAATAATTTAGAAAATCCACGCCTTAATGGGATCGTAGAAATAAATAGTTCAAAAATCCACGCCATAATCGCATTACAGAACAAATAATTTAAAAAATCCACTCCACAATTTAAAAAAAAAATCTTAAAGGCATCCTAAAAACATAGGGAACATACCAAAAAGAGTACCTATACCGAAATTTCTACAAACCGATTGTGGTCCAAAATATTGGTCCTTGACCCCATGTTTCTTTGGACCAATGTTGTTTCAAAAAAATTTGATTTCATCCCATCCTATTATTTCTTCCAAAATTAGTTCGAACATGGGGAATATCGGTCCATTACTTCTGGTTCCTCCCACACAGGGGCTATACCTAAATGCGGGTTAGAGTTCATATATATATATATATATATAAGGTAAATTATCGAACCTTATATTTAATTTTTTTCGTATCTTCCGCAGATGAAATTATTACAACAGAGTCTTAGAACCAAACCCAAACACGAAACAAATCATATAACTATTTTAAGGAAAGTTGTAAAGTCGGACGGGGCCGACTATATGATACCCTTCACCACTATGGGTATATTAAACAGGACTATTATCATGAAATTGTATGAAATAAAATATGTGATATTTATCTAAATGTGAAACGACCTAGATCTATCCATAAACATGCCATTCGTTTGTTACAATGGAACAAAAGTATGTAAATCGACTTCAAACAAATATCCGTTGGCTAGGTCTGTACTTGGGGCTAGGTCTGTACTTCTAGAAAACCCAACTATGTTATTTTATGCTCAATTTTGCACGTTGTGTAAAATTTGATGTCAATCTAACAAATATGAGGAGTTTGATGCACAATTTACTTATATAAGGATGCTATATCAAATATGAACCGATTTCAACGAAACTTGTCACAGGTTAGGTTATGCTAATTTCAGTACGTTTTGTTCCTATCAGCCATATATTGGTTCCTTGGTGCGTCAATTACTTCAATCAATCTATAATATAAGGGAGTTATATCTAAATATATACCGATTTTCTCGAAGCAGACATCATTCTAGGCTCAATTCAGTACGTTATGTCAAATTTCATGCAAATCTAAAGATATACAGGGACGTTGGTGCACAATTTACATGAAATCGGGCGAAACTATATATGGGAGCTATATCTTAATCTGGACCGATTTTCACGAAACTTGGCAGACATCGCTCTAGGCTCAATTCAGTACGTTATGCCAAATTTCGTGCAAATCGAAAGATATATAGGGACGTTGGTGCACAATTTACATGAAATCGGGCGAAACTATATATGGGAGCTATATCTAAATCTTGACCGATTTTCTCGAAACTTGGCATACATCATTCTAGGCTCAATTCAATACGGTATGCCAAATTTCGTGCAAATCGAAAGATATATAGAGATTTTGGTGCACCATTTACATGAAATCGGACGAATCTATATATGGGAGCTATATCTAAATCTGGACCGATTTTCACGAAATTTGGCAGAAATCACTCTAGGCCTTCGTGCAAATCGAAAGATATTTAGGGACTTTGGTACATCATTTATATTAAATCGGACGAAAATATATATGGGAGCTATATCTAAATCTGAACCGATTTTCCCAATTTCAATAGGGTTCGTCCTTGGGCCAAACAAATGAGTTGTGCCAAATTTCATCCAATTCGGATCATAAATGCGACCTGTACTTTGCTCACAAAAATACGTCGACAGACAGATAGACGGACGGACATGCATAAATCGACTTAAAAAGTGATTCTATGCATATTCTCAAATGGAACCATGGGTATATCTCGTTTCCTTTTGCCTGTTACAAACATATGCACAAAGACATAATACCCTGTACCACAGTGTGGTTAAGGGTATAAAAAGGTGTTATATGGGGACGAGCCCAAAAAGGGCGAATATTAAAAAGTTTTGGTAGGGAGATTTGTTAGCATATACGACTATAAAATACCAAATTGTAGCGAATTCGATTGAAAAACGCGCACAAGAACACCAAAATACCGAAAATTAGGGGTACCCTTATATGGTGGCTATCCGAAAAAAATGCGCCTATACTTATATTTCTTTGTGGAGAGATTTGGTACCTATTAAGAACTCAAAATACTAAATATACCAATACTCAAAATACAAATTCGGTGGAAAAATACGATCAAAACCCCCAAAATACTGAAAATTAGGGGGGGGGGGGTACTGTTATATGGGAGCTATGCCGCCTAAACGTGGACCGATATATCCCATCTTCGAACTTGACCTGCCTGCAGACAAACCTATGCAAAATTTCAGTACCTTATCTCAATTCCCTCAGAAGGTAGCGTGATTACAACAGACGGATGGACAAACGGGCGGACTGACAGACGGACGGACATGGCTAGATCGTCTTAGAATTTTGCCCTGATCAAAAATATGTATACTTTATAGGGTCGGAAATGAGTATTTCGATGAGTTACAAACGGAATGACAAAATAATTATACTCTCCATACTATGGTGGAGGGTATAAAGCCACGCCTTAATGGGATCGCAGAAAGAATAACTAAAAACTCGAGGATTTTAAAACAATATTTTTCCAAAGCCCATTAAAGCGTGGATTTTTAAACAGCATTTTTCGGATAGCTCATAAAGCTGTGGATTTTTTCAATAATATTTTCCGAGAGCCTATTAAAGCATGTTTTTTTAATAATATTATTCGAGGCCAATTAAAGCGTAGATTTCTTAAATAATATTTTTCTGTGAGCCCATTAAGACGTTGATTTTTTAGATCATATTTTTCTGAGAGCCTATTAAAGCGTGGGCTTTTTAAAATATTTTTTCTGAGAGCCCATTAAGGCGTGGAGTTATATCTTTTCTGAGAGCCCATTAAGACTTGGAGTTTATAAATTAGTTTTTCTGAGAGAACTTTAAGGCGTGAAGTTTATACAATATTCTTTCAGTTCATACAATATTTTTTCTGAGAGCTCAGTAAAGCGTGAGTTTTTTTTTTGGATTATCGAAGACTTATAGAATGTCTCTATAGAAGATATATGGAACGATTCTATTCATATATACATATATGCATATTTTGACCAAACCTAATTATGTCATATCACCCTCCTCCAAATAAATTCCTCACAAACGACTAAATTTACGAAAATTTATATATTCAACAACATATTTAAAAGATTCTCTTGACTATTAGTTACAATCACTCACTTCATAATATAATGTGTAATATATTTGTACACATATATTTTAACAGACAAAAACGATATAAATTTCTACAAAATAACATATTTTGATCACAAAAACTTATTTTGACATTCTCTTTCGCTTCCAATTTCTTACTACCATATGTTTACGGCATTGTAAAAAAAGTAGTAGAGAAAATAAATTACGATCGAATGCGGTGATCCAAAAATTTACCACCAAAAATTTACCAACTCAATGACGAATTCTGTGATTTGGCCCCTGATCTCAAACACACTGAACTTCAAATAACTGTGCATTTTCCTAGGCATAAAATGTTTCATTTTGCTTTTCTTTATTTTATTTAAATTTTTTGTTCATAACAAACTTAATTCCATTACAACAAATCATTTAAGTTCCAATTTACTAGTATTCGGTAATATTGCCGCCAATATGCAACCAACTGAAAAATATTTTTTTTTTTTTAATTTTAATATATAAATACATAACATATCCTTCAGTAGAAACTTACTAAATAAAACAGCTCCGACCATAACAAACGGTGGTATACAACCCAATGACATAAATATTGGAAACAGCACATTACCCAATATTGAACCAATACGTCCGAGCATCATTGCCATTGAAACAATTATTGTTCTGCAATAAAAAATCCGAAATTTAAATTAAAAAAAAAAAAAATAATAAAAATATGATTTTAAATTTTTATATAGGAAATATTTTTTATATTTTACCTTAATGAAGTTGGAAATAAATTTGCCGAAGCACCAACAGCTGATGTATTTGCCATACTACACAGTGCAACATACAATGATGATATTATTAAGGTGGCCACCGAAGACGAGGACCAATAGAGGCCAATGCCACATACACCGGCACAAGATAAACCTATAACTGAGAGGAACAATTATATTTCAATTTTGTTTGAAATAGAGGAAGATAGGGGTTTTGATGTATTTACTTTGCATTTGTTTATTGCCAATGGCATTCACCAGACTTCCAGCTATCAGGTAGGTTACCAAACCCACAGAGGCTACGATAATATTGTTTGTATATGTGGCAGGAGTTATGACCTGAAATAAATTTGTGATTAAAATTAGTCTTTGATTTTTTAATATTTTTTCACGGACCATTAGAAACATCGGTGTGGATTTTTTAGGACCAAGGCGTGGAACCATTAATGACATTTACTAAAGAATATTTTTTCAAGGACCATCTAAGGCGCGGATTTATTAAAGAATATTCTTTTCAAAGACCATCTAAGGCGTGGATTTATTAAAGAATATTTTTTTCAAGGACCATCTAAGGCGTGGATTTATTAAAGAATATTTTTTTCAAGGACCATCTAAGGTGTGGATTTATTAAAGAATATTTTTTTCAAGGACCATCTAAGGCGTGAATTTATTAAAGAATATTTTTTCAAGGACCAACTAAGGCGTGGATTTATTAAAGAATATTTTTTCAAGGACCATCTAAGGGGTGGATTTATTAAAGAATATTTTTTCAAGGACCATCTAAGGCGTGGATTTATTAAAGAATATTTTTTCAAGGACCATCTAAGGGGTGGATTTATTAAAGAATATTTTTTCAAGGACCATCTAAGGCGTGGATTTATTAAAGAATATTTTTTCAAGGACCATCTAAGGCGTGGATTTATTAGAATAGAATACTTACCACTCTGCACTCTTTCACAACATTTTTCACAATTTCCGTTTTATTGACACTATATTCCAGAATAGTACACATACTGGTAGCTTCCGAAGATATATGTTCATATTCATTTAGGGATGCAAATAGTTGTGGCAACCAAAGACGCATGGTATTGAGCCTTGAAATGAAAATATGTTATTTTTAAAAATATTCGAATAGTAGAAAAATTGTTAACTTACCCAAGTAAAACAAAAAATTGCATAAAACAAACGACAATGCATAACCACAAATTTCTCTTTGAACAGAGTAATCGAAATTTATTCGGTTCTTTGGATGATTTTAAGTCCACATTACTTTCCAAACTCTGAGTAACGTCTATTGTGGATATATTATACGGGGCTTTCGATTGACTTTTCTGTTTTACCTCTTCTACGAGGGCTTTGATCTAAATTAAAGAAATTATTTTATTAGACTTTACAGGAGAAAATAATTTGAGTTACTCTCACCGGAAATGTCTCCCTCGATTTCCCCTTATTATAGGCATACATCATTTTAAATGTTTCCATTGCCTCAGAATTTCTACCTTTAGACATTAGAAAACGTGGACTTTCGGGTAGAAGGCACAAAAGTAGACTACCCAACAAACTGGGTATACCACAAATGGCAATAAATATTTTCCAAGAGACAACTGTTAAGAGATTATAATTAAAAATTATATATTTTTTTATTATTAGAGGACTTTAACTCACATTTCATATTGAATATTTGAAAACTCCAATCTTTGGGTAGTATCGACATTGCCAATATCGGTAATATCATAAACATAATGCCAACAATCATCATAACCTGTGGACGACGATTGCTGCCATGGAATTCGGATAAATATGAAATTAGAACAGCAAAGGGGCCACAAATGCTAAAAATTGTAGAAAAGGGGATGAAAAAAAATAAATTGATGACTGGGTAACAAGAATATTGAACTAGCTGAATAATAACAAAATAAAGATGGTCAGATGTCATACAAAATCAATTGATTTGAAAAATTACCGATTATATAAAATCTGCAGATTCATCATCAAAAAAAAACTTAGTGGCGTAGTGCATCCCAACAGAAGAGGAAAAATGCATTAAAATGTTTGAAAAAAAATCCTCTCCATATGAAATAAACCCGAAGTCCTCTGACAATCTAATAACCAACGTTGGCATCAAGAGCAAAGAGATATGTCCGGAGATAGCGCCACCCAGAAAATAATGGCAACACTAAAATAGGCAAGGACCCCGACCACTGTACAAAATCTAAGAAATCGTTGAATCTAGGTTACCATAGATGGCAGTTTCATAACGTAGAACAAGCTCCAGTGGATAAATCATCAAAATATAAAATTAAGAACGAAACTCAAGACACTAATTTCTAGCATAATGTATAGCTATCTATTTTTCACGAGGTCTCAATCAAACCAGAATATTGCGTATGATACAGTCCCTAACGTGTTTTGGCGTTCTGGTAACTTTGAATACTTGCCCATTACGTAGTAATGGACTCCACCACAGGGTTCTAATATCAGGGGTTTTCCGAGATTCTGTAATGGTATTTAGATTACTTCCCCAGTAAACTGCACATGGAATGAAAGGAATGTTCTTCAAAAATTTCTCTCTAGATCCGATAAAACTTTTCGAATTTGTGGGCAACTTCACACAGTTTTGTTCTGATTTTCGTATGAATTCACCATCTGAAAAAACGAGCAACCTAGTGCTTCCCACATTTTGGATTTTTTTTCCTGTTACTCATCTTGTGACCATATGGCTTCAACAAAGTATCGTCATTGATTACTGATATAACAGAAGGACTAATTTCGACAATCAATGTTTCCTACTACAGGTAAGTCATGATTGGTCTGCTGTAATCTGTCTTAGGTGATGGGGCTACCATCTATCATTGCCTAGAAAGTACGCCCCTTGTAATATTGTGTTGGGGTCCTTGCTTATTTAATGCTGTCATTTTCATCTGCGTGGCGCCTTTTCTAGCCGAATTCCTATTTTCCAGCACAGCTTGCATTTTCGTTATATTAGAGACCGCATTTTTACACCGAATTAAATGTGGCTTGGAATTCCGCGTTCTTGGCGGAGTGGAAAACATATTTGCAGAACATTTTCGAAATAGGTCCACGTTTTGGCAGAGCCCCCACATGTTCCCATCGAATTGCCAGTAGTTTAGAATTTAGGATTACTGGAGAGAGGGAAACTTATCTTTCGAAAATGTTCGAAGAACGTCCATGCTTTGACATTTTGAAGACACTTATATATCGTCATTTTTAATTGTGGTGGTTTATTGTTTGTACCATATAAGATCCTTTTTTTGGGCCTCGTGAAAGGCGATGTAATTAACGATTTTTTTACTTTTTATAAGTTAGATATTAAACATATTTAGCTTTCCGTTAATTTTGTTATGATTATTTACTTACACAAATCCGCCAAAAAATTTCGCCAGCATCAGTTGTACAACATTTTGTGATATCGCTGAACAGATAACACATATCACGTCGATCAGAAATCCCCAGATAAGTAAATTTTTACGACCCTTGGAGTCGGCAAGGTAACCCCATCCAACAGCAGATACAATCATACCTAGACAATGAAAATCCAAACAAATAATTTTATTTTGAAAAAAATCCACATTATCTTTATTCGGACTTTACCTCCATATGTGATGCCATTCAATATGCCCTTATCAACTAAATCTAAATTCAAATCACATTCGGCACTGGGTAGAATAAATGAGACAACAGCAGTTTCAAATACTGATCCCATAATAGCTGGTATGGCGGACAGTAGTAGGATAATGTTGAATCGCCCAAACCCACATACCTGTATGGCGGTCTCATAATCCGCTGGTGTTTCGAAATCATGGCCATAATCATTACTTTTTTTGATGGGATAAACTTTGGGAAAAATTGAATTTATTATTTTTTTAATAATTAATTTTTTCCAAAACAATAACAATTACTTTTTGGAGCATCTTCCGTTACAGGAGTGTTTGGTATGGAATCCATTTTTTTATTTTTATTATTATTTTTTTTAATTTGTTATTGTTAATAAAATCTCATTGTTAAGTTAATAATAGTTTATTTTGATTGCCGCTAGATTTTTGGGTTCGGAACCGTTTTCGCTACTGTTTTCAATCTAACTGATTTAAATGGCATACATTTTCCAGTTTGTCTGGTATCTTGAAAAATATATTCTTATCCAGCGTTTTATCTACTTTCATAAATTTTATTGGATTGTAAAAAAATCATGGCAATGACTTCACAATGTTGACAGTGTGTATGTAGGTTTTTATACCCTACACAACTATGTTGTCAGGGTATTATAGCTTTTTGCAGCCCCAAATGTTTGTAACGCAGCGAAATATTGGTCCTAGACCCACCTTTAAGTATACCGATGGTCATATCTCGACTAGCTGAGTCGATCTAGACATGTGTGTCCGTCCGTCTGTCCATTATAATTTGTAAACACGATACAGGCCACAGTTATGGACCAATCTTCACGAAATTTTGCATGTAGGATGGGTTCTGGCCAATGAAGACCCCTATTGTTTTTGGAAAAGATCGGTTATTATTTAGGGGATAAAATGGACCAAAAACATTATTTTTTTCGGTTTTTCTGGTCGCTCCAGAGGCCGCAAATATGGCCCAAACACCGCGAATTTTTGCATGGAGAAGTGGATCGGGCAAGAGAATAAGCCTGCATGTTTTGATAAAGATCTGTCAATATTTAGCGGGTCAAATGGACCCTGACTTTTGTGTGGAAAATTACAAAATTTGTATTCTATGGCATATATATTTACTCCTGGAGGATGTACACCCGAGGAGTTGATAGCATATCCAAGAGGAGTGGTTGGCCTTTAAATTGATACCAAATATAGTCATGTATCTACTCAGAAGTGGGAGTTACAGTCAAATATTTACAGGTGCTTACGTATTCAGATATTATTTAGTAACCCACTACCACATTAGAGGGGGAAATATCGCGCTGATGGCTTTAAAATTGTTCATGAAGTTCCAGTTATGGTCGAGAACAACGCCTAAAATTTTCGGTGATGATCAGATTAAAATTTTGGGATGAAATGGACCGAAAACTTAATTTTTTGTGTGTTTTCGAGTCGAGTATAATCCGAAAATCACAACACAACCCACCGTGAAGTTAATCTGGACAAGTAATTAGAAGGACTGTACTGAATATTCGAAAAAGTAAGGAAGAGGTGTTGTTGACCTCTAATCGGGCAAGAGGGGGCAAATATCACGAAATATTACTCAGACTCGAAATAAACATCCTCAGAATGTTAGAGTTCGTGGTAATTGTGTAGGGTATCGTATGGTCGGCCCCGTCCGACTATACTGCTCCGCTCATGGTTTTATTTTATGTAGGTTTTGTTTTATTTCCTATTCACACAGATATAGTAATGTTGGATTTTCTACTGCTGATGAAATTCGCAATTAATGATGCTAAAATCTTCGCCCCTAAGGAGAACCCGAAATGACTAATTACAATCACAAGATCTTTGAATAATTGTTGGGAAGAAGTTCTTTAGTTCAGAAAAAGTTATTAAAAATGTTATTCAAAAAAGTATCTGTCAGAGCCCGGAATGCCCAATTACGTTCATTTTGGTGTAAAAATACTTGTTAAAACATGGCGGACCCACATGTTCCACACAATCCACGCCATGATGGGCTCTCACAAAATTATTATTCCCACAATCCACGCCTTGATGGGCTCTCAGAAAATTATTATTCCAACAACACACGACTTGATGGGCTCTCAGAAAATTATTATTCCATCAACCCACGCCTTGATGGGCTCTCCGAAAGTTATTGTTCAAACAATCCACGCCTTGATAGACTCTCAGAAAATTATTATTCCAACAATCCACGCCTTGATGGGCTCTCAGCAAATTATTATTCCAACAATCCACGCCTTGATGGGCTCTCAGAAAAATATTATTAAAAAATCCACGCCTTGATGGGCTCTCAGAAAAGTATTATTAAAAAAATCCACGCCTTGATGGGCTCTCAGAAAAATATTATTAAAAAAATTCACGCCTTGATGAGCTCTTAGAAAATTATTATTCCAACAATCCACGCCTTGATTGGCTCTCAGAAAACTATTATTCCAACAATCCACGCCTTGATGGGCTCTCAGAAAACTATTATTCCAACAACCCACGCCTTGATGGGTTCTCAGAAAATTATTATTCAAACAATCCACGCCATGATGGGCTCTCAGAAAATTATTATTCCAACAATCCACGCCTTGATGGGTTCTCAGAAAACTATTATTCCAACAATCCAGGCCTTGATGGGCTCTCAGAAAATTATTATTCCAACAATCCACGCCTTGATGGGCTCTCGGAAAATTATTGTTCCAACAACCCACGCCTTGATGGGTTCTCAGAAAATTATTATTCCAACAATCCACGCCATGATGGGCTCTCAGAAAATTATTATTCCAACAATCCACGCCTTGATGGGTTCTAAGAAATTTATTATTCCAACAATCCACGCCTTGATGGGCTCTCAGAAAACTATTATTCCAACAATCCACGCCACACAGTGTCACGACCGCGGCCAAAAATGGTCAAAACCAAGTACCACGGAGGACAAATTTTTTGATGAGGATTGATAGAAAACACTCCAATAAGAATAAATATGAAATTTTATATCGATATGTCAAGTAGTTTTGTCTCTACAAAGGTTCAAATCTGATAATTATTTTTTACCATATTTTCGAAAAATGGGTGTGTTTTTCTGATGCTAAAATATTTGAATATTCAAATTAACGGTTATTATAAAAGTGTTTATTTTGGTTGCTGTGGATGTAAAAACTAGGATTCGCTTTAGTTTGTATGTATATAGATATCATATGGTGTATACAGTCGTCCACACTTGTAGTACTTAGTTCATCAAATTTTTAAAACAAATTTTGAAATTAGTGGAGCAGAAAAAAAGTTTAAAAAAGATTAGCTCTAATTTTTTTTTATTTGAGTGGTGAAAAGTGTGTCATTTAAGGAATAACAAAAATAAGCTGCGGAGACCTGCGGTACTAAGAGTTATTTAACTTTTTTGGTGACCACCTTATTAAAAAATATGGCATATTCATGAAATGGTTAGAAGCGAATGGTCAAATATGTTATGTATACAATTAAATAAGTTATTGAGGGTCAAATAGGAAGGAGAATATGTATTCAGAACATAGAAATAATATAATATTTTACATAAAATATGCAATTAAGTGGTAAAAACGTTATTCGAAGCGATGATATGGGAGAATTGGTTTTAAAATATAGCTTTTAAATAAATGTTCAGTCAGTTTGAGGATTATACTTATTTATCAGATCATTTGAGACATAATCTTATAATCTAAATTTAGATGTCACACATGAATTACGTTTGTGGAAAGTTCATACAGAAAAATATTAGTTCATGGCATTGGATATGCAAAGTGCAGTACAATACCTTTTGAGCGACTTTCACAAGATGCTAACAAGTCATGCCAACAAATAATTAGTAGCAGCCCGAACTTTTGTTAAAGCCGAGTTAAATAAGGATTTTATTTAGAATTTTATATTACAATCCGACCTTGTAATATCCTTAAACAGCCATAAAGTAAAGCCCCGAGATTATAACGTGGATAATACTAAATCGTACATTTGGGAAGACAATATTTTATATATATCTCTGATGTGTGTTTTGAAAATTTTGTGAATGATGAACAAGTAATTTATTAGTTACTAAAGCATATCAAATATTTATTATATTTTAATAAAAATAACAAAAATAAAACTACTATACTTAACTTAGCTGCATATAACGATTTTATAGTACAGAAAATTACATTTTTAGGGACTTTTGGTATGGTAGGTACCTGAAATATGGGCCAACAACTAAATTACAGCATCTATTACTTTCTCCGCCCGAATTTGATGTAATTTGGACGAAGACATGAAAATGTTCCTGCAATTTGGATGAATATAAAAAATTTATAGGTCCAAAAAGCGGATTCCCTTTGTATGGGAAGTATATCAAATCTTGGTCCGATCTACCCAGTTTTTGGTCAGTTGCTTTAGAGGCCTAACTAAATGTAAATTGCCAATTTTCATTGAGTTTGTTTGAATATTAAAGATTTTATAGGCCAAAAAGGGTGACATTCTCAAGACCCATTGTATGGGAGGTATACGAAATCTTGGTCCGATCTATCCAATTTTTTGTCAGTTGGTCTTTAGGCCAATAATAAGCACATGTACCAAATTTCATTAACTTACGATAACTCCTTCTATTTTTGGCCGCTGTTTATATGAACTCGTGACATAAAAATATTATTATTAATTTTATTTAATGGGATCTCAGATAGATTTTTTTGATTTAGGCCTCCTATAACATAAATTTAAAACTTCGATTTTATTTTTTTCCTTTTATTATTTTTTTATTTATCTTCTACATACAAATTATTTTAAAAAATATTATCATTAATTTACGAAATTGCATTTCTTCACTAAATACTATTAATTAATAAATTACACATTTACAAACAAAACACACATTTATTTTACTTAAGTTCTAGTTTATTTGTACTTGGTAAAAATGCAGCCAATAAACAACCAACTGAAAAAAATAACAAAAAAATACAAATTAATACCAAAATGTCTCTCAGAAACATCAATCGATTTCCTTGATTAATACTTACGATACATGACCACACCGACCATAACAAACGGTGGAATACAACCGAATGACATGAAAATGGGAAACATGACATTACCCAATATGGAACCCATTCGACCAATCATCATGGTCAGCGATACAATCATTGTTCTACGTGGATAGAAATTATTCGAATTAGAAAAAAATATTTTTTTTCATAGATTTTGAATTTTTACCTTAGTGAAGTTGGAAATAGATTGACAGAAGTTCCAATAGACGATGTAGCAGACATACTACCCAATGCCGAATATATTGAGGTAATAATTAATGTCGTCAGCGATGATGAGGACCAATAGAGTGCGAAGCCACAGGTACCGGCAGCCAATAGACCAATAACTGAAATAAAATGTAAAAGGTTGATTTCAAGGACTTATTAATTCTGAACAAGAACTTACCTTGAATTCTCTTATTTCCCAGGGCATTGATTAGTGAACCAGCCACTAAATATGTCGCAAAACCAATACAGGCCACAATAATGTTGTTGGTATAGGAAGCGGGAGTAATAATCTGAAATTAAAAAGGAATATATCATAAACTAAGAATCCAATCAAAAATTTTCTGGGAGCCAATTGTTGTAAAAAATATATTCCTGATAGCCCAATTAGGTGTGAATTTTGTTAAAATATTTCTCTGAGCGCCCATTATGAACTCTATAGAATTCTTTGGAGAATCCAAAAAGAAGTGTATCTAATAAAATATATTTTTTCTGAACCCCCATAAACAATTTTTTAAAAAAATATATTTTACTGAGAGCCTATTACGGTAAGGTGTCATTTTTTTTAATAGTATTTTTCTGAAATCCTGTTAAGATGTGGATTTTTTTAAATAATACTTTTCTGCGAGCCCATTAAGGCGCGTTTTTTTAATTATACTTTTCTGAGAGACCATTAAGGCGTGGATTTTTTAAGGTGTAGATTTTTAAATAATATTTCTGAGAGACCATTAAGGCGTGGATTTTTTAAGGCGTAGATTTTTAGATAATATTTCTGAGAGCCCATTAAGGCGTTGATTTTTTAAGGCGTAGATTTTTAAATAATATTTCTGAGAGCCCATTTGGGCGTTGATTTTTTAAGGCGTAGATTTTTAAATAATATTTCTGAGAGCCCATTAAGGCGGAGATTTTTTAAATAATACTTTTCTTCGAGCCCATTAAGGCTTGGATTTTTTTAAATAATACTTTTCTGCGAGCTCATTAAGACGTGGATTTTTTTAAATAATACTTTTCTGCGAGCCCATAAAGGCTTGGATTTTTTTAAATAACATTTTTGAGAAATTGTACTTTAAAACATACCACAGTACACTCATCCACGGGATTTTTCACTAGCTCCGTTTTATTGACACTATATTCCAGAATAGTGCACATACTGGTACTCTCATTGGAGATTTGTTCATATTCGTTGAGGGAAGCAAACATTTGGGGTAGCCAAAGGCGCATTGTGTTTTGACTGAAAATTTATAAAAGAAAAACATTTTATTTTATAAAAACTTACACAAATTAAGACACTTTGAAACCCACCCCAATAAAATAAAGAATTGCATCAGACACACCCGGAAGCACAAGCCCACATATTGTTTGGAGCACAAAACTTTAAAGGTATTCGGTTGTTTGTCCATCAGTGCGGCTTCCGTATCAACATTATTATTTTCGGCAGACTGCTTCTCAGCATTACCAATATCATTCATATTAGCCTCGATGGTGGCAACACTAATTTTATCCGAATTATCTTCTTTTTGTTTGATCTCCTTTATTAACTCTTTGACCTAAAAGAAATTATGGTTCCAATTTTTTATTTAAAATGTGGAAAAATTTTATATTTCTACTTACGGGATATGTATCCTTTGATTTTCCGGTATTAACGGCATATATAGTCTTAAATGCCTCCAATGCCTCGGCATTTCTACCTTGGGTAATAAGAAATCGCGGACTCTCGGGAAAGAAACAGAACAGAATACAACTTAGCAGACTTGGTATGCCACAAATGGCCAAATACATTTTCCATGAAACAACTATAAGATGATGAGAAATCATTATTACTTCTTGAATTTTTTTCTTCTTCTTCACTTACAATTCATATTAAATATATCGAAATTCCAGTCCAGCGGTAATATCAGCAAAGCCAATACAGGCAATAAAATTGCCGCCATCGAGAACATAACACCAATTATCATCATAATGCGGGAACGGAAATTGGTGCCATGAAATTCGGATAGATATGTCATCAGAACAGCAAAGGGACCGCACATGCTAGAAACACGAAAGAATTATGGTTTATAGTAAAGTTCTCCAGTTTAAGAACCATGGAGGTGCGTCGAATACTTACACAAATCCACCAAAATATTTTGCAATCATCAGCTGTGTCCGACTCTGACTCATAGCTCCACAGAGAACACAAACCACATCGAGGAAGAATCCAACAATAAGTAAATTTCGACGACCCTTATTATCAGCCAAATAACCCCAACCAATGGCGGATGTAATCATACCTGGAAAAAGAATATAGAAAATTACATAAATAAATGTGGTTTACTTTATATAGCAAATTATATAAGTGTTGGATTGAAGAGCCCATTAATGTGTAGATTTTTTGGAGTCTTGGATTTTTAAAATATTTTTCTGATATCCATTAATTAGTATTATCATAAAATATGCTTTTAGAACCTATTAAGGCGTGAATTTCATAAAATATATTTTGCTGAAAGTCCACAGAGGTTTTTTTAAATAATATATTTTTGAGAGCCCATCAAGGCGTCGATTTTTAAAATATATTTTTCATGGTTTTTTTAAAAAAATATATTTTCCTTAGAGCCCTTAAAGATTCTTTAAATGTTTTTCTTAGACTAATAAAGTGTTTGACATAAATCCGAAATGATTTTGTCAGAAAAACCAAAGGTATTTTCGTGGTCCAGGGACTCCAACTAAACAGAATTGGTACATTAGAACCCCTGAATAATTTTTGTGTCGCACAGTGTTATAATAGGGATTTGAAATTTTGGTATAAAAAAGGATGTTTGGCATTGAAAAGTCCAGTTTTTGGAATAGCAAAATATCCTTAGCGGACAAAATAGTACAACCGAAATGGGTAGAATTGGAATTGGGGTTTCTCAGATGTTAAAAAGGCTTCAGGCAGAAACTTTTCATTATAGGTTCAAAGGCTATTAATTTATAAACTTGTATAGAATAAAACGGAGTGTATAATGAATTTGCCATTCTGTTAGCAACACTTCATCCCAATAACACAAGAGATGTAACATGAAAAAACAGGATCCAAAAACATTGATGAATCCTTCAAACCCAGTAGCAAATCCCAAATCCAAATCCAATTTTTGAGGGTTTATGAAATGTTTTTTATACCCTTCACCACACTGTGGTACAGGGTATTATGTCTTTGTGCATATGTTTGTAACTGGCAAAAGGAAACGAGATAGATCCATTGTTCCTTTTGAGAATATGCATAGAATCACTTTCTGAGTCAATTTATGTCTGTCCGTCCGTCTGTTTGTCCATGTTAAATTGTAAAGAAAGTAAATGTCGCATTTTCGATTCGAATTGAATGAAATATGGCACAGCTCATTTATTTGGTACAAGGACGAACTCAATTGAAATTGGAAAAAATCACATTTACATATAGCTCCCGTATATATATTTTCGTCCGATTTAATGTAAATGGTGCACCAAAGTCTCTATATATTTTTCGATTTGCACGAAATTTAGCACAACGTACTGAATTAATTTTATAAGTTTCGTGAATATGGTATCAGGTTTAGGTATAGCTCCCATATATATATATATATATATATATATATGATGTAAATGGTGTAATAAAGTCCTTATGTATCTTTTGATTTGTACGAAATTTTGCACAACGTATCAAATTGAGACAAGAATGACGTTATTGCGTTTTTTTTGTTATAAAATTGGTGCGGATGCAGACATAGCTTCCATATATATTTCAATAATGTGCTATAAATCGATTTACATAAATTTGTCCTATTGTACGCAAACAACTCTATAAATTTTACGCAAACGACACTAAATTATAGTTTGCATGTGTATGTATTAATGTTAGTTGGTTCACTTATAGATAAAGGTCACATATTCAAATTTGTTCAATTGTTAGGATACATATGTAGAATATATCCAAAATGCTGAAGGGTATCATATAGTCGGTCCAGCCCAACTTCACTACTTTCCTTACCAGTTATTAATCTCTTAGCACATTCTACAATTTTTTCAATGAAGTTTTGACAACAGTGGTCACAGTGGGTTCGAAAAGTTAGTAACTTATAAGATGTCCTCGTACAACTTTTTCGGCATTGGTCCTCTCATTTTTTGTGTACTTTATAAAAATCTTGTCTGTTTTTCTTTGCATCGAAAATACCTAAAAGTGGTATAACAACAATTTTTTAGGAGAATTTTGTGACTTAGAATACTAAATCTCAGCAAATTTTAATGGTAATTTGTACTAACATCTCAGCAACCAAAAACGTAGACAGATATTGATAGGAGGGTGGATGTGCCTACCATCGGTTGTATTGGGAATATGCCTAAACGTGGACCTTCTTCGAAATTGTCCTGCCCATCGGAAGTTGGCCTGATTGGTAAGGAAATTAAACTATTATAATATAACAAGTAAAAAAGTATCAGTCGGTGTTGCCGACAGATATATACCCTCAGTCTATTGTTCGCAAAGGTCTACGGAATTATACACCGGTTTTATTATTCGCTTTGTATAAGGTATATGTTTTTTTCAAAGAGTTGACAATATTTGGAGAAGTTTAAGATGGCGATAAACCAAAAACTATATTATAATCTGTTTTTCTGGTTGCGCATCTAGAGTTATGGCCCGAACATCACGGAACTTACACAGAGAAAGGGGTCTGACTGTTTTAGTGAAGATCGTTGAATATTTAACGGGTCAAATAGACACAGACTTTTGTGTGAAAAAATACAAAAATAGCTTATTATGATGTATATATTTAGGCCTGAAGATTATAGACCCGATAAGTTGATCGTATATCCAAGAGGAGTGCTTGGCCTATAAATTGGTACCCATTATATTGAAGAATGCGCTATACTTAAACTTTATCGGGGTCTATGAATTCTTATATTGTTTAGTATTAACCTTACCACACTGGAGGTACAAGTACAAGTTATGGTGAATGACGACGCCTATCATTTTCGACTACCAACTTTAGTCCGATCACATGATATTAAAATGAATTTCCAGTAAAATTTTGTATGGAAGGAGTGAACCGGTGGGTCCCACTTTCCAATTTTAATGTTGTTAGAAAAAAATATTACGATTTGCATATTTGGCATCAAATCGGAGATTCTACACCATTCGTTTCGGATTAAAAAAGTTTTCAACATTTGACCAATTTTAGGAGATGTACCAGAAAGAGTTCACCATTGGGTTCCATCTTCGGACTTTACCTATGCCTGGTAAAATAATATGTTTTGAAACCATAATATCAAATTACAGCCATTTCGAATAAAAAAACCTGTGAAAAATCCTTAGAATCCCGGAAAATGTAAGTACAGTAATATGAGATCTACCCTAAACGTGGACCCATATATTCCATTTTCAATATCAACCTGGAGGTCGTTAACCAACATAGTACATTTTCGTAAACGTTTAATATTGTTTTCCAAATACTTCTAATTCACCCAACATATGTGAGCCTCATTCAAATTTTAGTGTTCAATATCCCAATTATAATTCAATCAATTTTTTCTGAGTGAAGACTGTAGAACTCATGGTTGACAATTTTGGGATCTGAGCTTTTCTTCCGAATTATGTAACATATTGAAAAAATATATATCTTACCACAATAAGTAATGGCATTTAGAATGCCCTTATCTAGTAGATCCAAGCTAAGATCACATTCAGCACTGGGCAGGATATATGAAACCACAGCCGTTTCGAGGACTGTTGCCATGACGGCTGGCAAGGCCGCAAATAATAATAAAATATTAAAACGGCCAAATCCGCAGGCCTTAATGGCTGTTTCAAAATCAGCTGGACCGTCAGACATGGAGGGGCTGTTGTTGTCCTTGTTATTATTGCGATTATCTGAAAGCAAATATTATTATTCTTTACAATTCAAAAAATAATAATAATATTAAAAATCATACACACACACCTTTTTCAGTGTTGGTGGTATTGGAGATGGTAGCTGTTGGTGCTGTTGTCATGGATCCCATATTGAATGGCAGGACAGAATTTTGAACTTTTTCGGCACAATCACAGAATTATTTTTTAAATTTATATATTTTATTATTATTTTTGGTTTGTTTTTCCTTGATTATCAACACATGTTTTTTGAACTGCCAATTTTTTCACTCGAAATTTCAATTTTCACTAAATTTTGAACCGTTCCATTAAACATCCCGAGACTAACTGATTAATAACCCGAGATGTTAAATCTTCTTATAAAAAAACTAAATTTTTGTATACTCATTATTTGGGTTACGACAACGAAGACCGACGTACGACATTATCTCCCATATTATCTTCATTCATAAAAAATATGATATAGGGGCTTTTGCAAATATATTCCGATAATAAAAAGAAAATCTGGTAAATGTTTGCGATTTTTTCGTTTTGTGTCTGGCCTTAGTATCAGCAACAGGAAGAATGAATGGCATGGAATATCCCTAGACCACTTTCTCGAAATTAAATTAGCAGCACTATTTACCAATTTTTGATCTCCTACCAAAAAATGTTTTCTTTGTTAAACTTCGTGATGAGTATCCATTAGCCTGCTGAAAGATGATGATGATTCCAAGTGGTATTTTTTGTTTTGATCTTATCTTTGAATGTCCATATGTATGTAGGTATGACTACTTACTTTTATCATAATAACACCTTTATATGACACAAGAAGGCGACTAACTGTTTGTATTGTCAAAGTTGTTGTTGTTTTCATCTTTTTTGATTTTGTTATTGTTTTTCTTTCGTCTCAGTGTCATCAACATAATGACGTTTGATGTTTATGATCGCCTCCTTCTGTGGAGACACGATCAACACGAGCAGTTCATTATGCCGAGCATGACAACATTGCAAAAATGTCATAAAGATACACTTATGTTTAGGTAAATAGCACAGATATTATTTTGTAAAATTAATCACCGATTGCATCAGATGGCAACTAGCAGAATAGATAGTAGTGGTGGCGGTGATAATGAAACAGAAGTCAGATTTTATTGAGAGCTTCAGAGATAAGTTAGTGCGTGGGATTATGTCTCTAGATTTTTTTTATACACTAGTACGAGGGATGCTATAAATGTTTTTGGGGTAGTAATGACACAATTAAAAAAATATCAGGATCGTTGCCGACAGATTTATACCCTTAGGCTATGGTTTGCGGAGGTCTTCGGAATTACACATAGATTTTATTATCCCCTTCATATAAGGCATATGTTTTTTCATCAAAGAAGTTTCGGATTTAATGCTGATAATGCTGCGCACCAGCCCAGACAGACGAACGGACATTTGTAAATCGACTCCAAATTGTCTGAATAGGATTTAGTCCAAAGAAACCAAATATTTCGATGAAACACATTTTTGCCGTATAAAAGTGTTTCTGCTAGTCCCTCAAAACTATTTTTTAAAATCCTAAAATCCACGCTTATAGCCTCCTAGGCCCTCACAAAATATTTTTTGAAAATCCTAAAATCCACGCTTATAGCCCTCCTAGGCCCTCAGATAATATTCTGTAAAAGTCCACGCTTAAAGCTCTTCTAGTCCCTCAAAAAATATTCTTTAAAAATCCACGCTTCTAGCTCTCACAGTCCTTAGAAAATATTCTTTAAAAATCCACGCTTGATGCTATCCTAGTCCTTCGGAAAATATTCTTAAAAAATCCACGCTTATATGTCTGATAGTCCTACAAAAATATTCTTTAAATATTCACAATTTTAAATATTTTTTGTTTTCATTTTAGAGAACTATGCACCTGGGAAATTTCAGGGTAAGCTCCCAAAATTTTTAGAAGTTTTCAATTTGATTTTCTCTTATATTTTATTATTATAATAAATGGTGTATAATCATAAAATAGTATTTTATATTATTTCTTATTTAATAAAAAATCGAAAACATATTTTTATATAATTATACAATTTTTAATAAAATTAAAAATTTGTATTTTCATTTAATTACAATTTTTATTATTACACGTATTTACAAATTCTTGCTAATTACTTATACATAATGTCTGGTGTGTTCTCACTTAAGCTCCACTTTATTTGAATTTGGTAAAAATGCACACAATAAACAGCCCACTAAAAATCATAGAAGAAAAACATCAGTTAATTCTCCGCAAATATAAAAAATAATGATCTACAAAATACTCACAATACAAGACAATGCCGATCATTGCAATCGGTGGAATGCAGCCGAATGACATAAAAATGGGAAATACGACATTACCAGCTATCGATCCAATGCGACCAATCATCAAGGTCAATGACACAATCATTGTTCTGAGACGAGCAATTAAAAATAAATATATAAAAAATAATAACATAAAAAATGTGTTTTTTACCTCAACGAAGTGGGAAATAAATTGACGGAAGATCCAATAGCTGATGATGCCGACATACTGCCCAATGCGGAATATATTGATGTTAGTATCAATGTTGTCAGTGACGTTGACGACCAATAGAGGGCGATGCCACAGCTACCAGCAACGGTTAGGCCAATGACTAGAATTTAAGAAAATAAATTTTAAAAAATACATTTTAAGTATGAAAATATATAAAATATTCTTGTTCATTCATGCTTACCCTGTATTCTCTTATTTCCTAAGGCAGTGATGAGTGTTCCCGCTGCTAAATATATGATAAAACCAACACAACCCACAATGATGTTATTCGTGTAGGATGAAGGGGTAATAATCTGAAATAAAGAAGGAATATAGTATCAGAGCAGGGTATCAGAGCTATAAGCCTGAAATTAAAAAAATATATATTTTTAGAGGGACCAACGTCAATTTTTAAAGAATATTTTCTCAAGAAGCCTCAGGCAAACAGGCGTGGATTTTTAAAGAATATTTTCTCAAGAAGCCTCAGGCAAACAGGCGTGGATTTTTAAAGAATACTTTCTCAAGAAGCCTCAGGCAAACAGGCATGGATTTTTAAAGAATATTTTCTCAAGAAGCCTCAGGCAAACAAGCGTGGATTTTTAAAGAATATTTTCTCAAGAAGCCTCAGGCAAACAGGCGTGGATTTTAAAGAATATTTTCTCAAGAAGCCTCAGGCAAACAGGCGTGGATTTTTAAAGAATATTTTCTCAAGAAGCCTCAGGCAAACAGGCATGGATTTTTAAAGAATATTTTCTCAAGAAGCCTCAGGCAAACAGGCATGGATTTTTAAAGAATATTTTCTCAAGAAGCCTCAGGCATGGATTTTTAAAGAATATTTTCTCAAGAAGCCTCAGGCATGGATTTTTAAAGAATATTTTCTCAAGAAGCCTCAGACAAACAGGCATGGATTTTTAAAGAATATTTTCTCAAGAAGCCTCAGGCAAACAGGCATGGATTTTTAAAGAATATTTTCTCAAGAAGCCTCAGGCAAACAGGCATGGATTTTTAAAGAATATTTTCTCAAGAAGCCTCAGGCAAACAGGCATGGATTTTTAAAGAATATTTTCTCAAGAAGCCTCAGGCAAACAGGCGTGGATTTTTAAAGAATATTTTCTCAAGAAGCCTCAGGCAAACAGGCGTGGATTTTTAAAGAATATGTTTGCTCAAGAATCCATGAAGTAGATTAGTTAACTTACCACAACACATTCATCTGTGGAATTTTTCATTAGATTCGTTTTATTGACACTGTACTCAAAAATCGTGCACATGCTGGTCGATTCATTCGAAATTTGTTCATATTCATTGAGGGAAGCAAACAATTGCGGTAGCCAAAGACGCAAGGTGTTTTGTCTGAAAAATATAACAAATTATGCTAAATTTTAAAAGCATATCCTAATTTATTTCTAATCACACCTACCCTATCATAATAAAGAACTCAATCAGACAAACCTGAATACTCAACCCCAAATATTGTCTGGAACACAATGTCTTAAATATATTCGGTTGTTTGTCCATCAGAGTGGCATCTTTAATATTATTGGTACCCATTTCGGGATTACCTTCATTGCAAATATCCTTGGTATTGGCCTCTATGGTTGCCACTTGTATTTTATTTAAACTTCCCTCATCCTTTTGTTTAATTTCTTTGATTAATTCTTGAATCTGTAAATATTGTAAATACAAAAATTAAATAATTTTTAAAATGTTAATATTTTGACCCACATACCGGATATGTATCATTTGATTTCCCTGTATTTGCTGCATACATTTTCCTAAAGACCTCCAGAGCTTCGGTATTTCTTCCTTGTGAAATAAGAAAACGTGGACTTTCGGGGAAAAAACCAAATATGACGCTACTTAGCAGACTGGGTATTCCGCATACGGCCAAATACACTTTCCACGCAACAACTAGGAACATCAACAAACATTTTCATGAATTATCCAAAAATTAAAAAATATTTTCTTACAATTCATGTTGAATATTTGAAAATTCCAATCTGCCGGTAATATCACGATGGCCAGCAGCGGCATTGTCAAAGTGGCAATGGAGATCATAATACCAACAATCATCATAATACGCATACGAAAATGACTACCATGGAATTCGGATAAATATGATACCAAAATTGCGAAGGGGCCACACATTCTGCATAATAAGGATAGAGTATAATTTAATATCCTCCAAGAATTTGTTTTTATAATTTTTTCACTTTACTTACACAATTCCACTAAAAAATTTGGCAATCATCAGCTGAGTCCTACTTTGACTCATTGCAGCGCATACAACACAAATAACATCGAGTAAATGTCCACAGATTAATAGGTTCCGTCGGCCTTTTTTGTCAGCCAAATAGCCCCAGCCCATGGCGGATATTATCATACCTGAAATATGAATTAAAAAAAAATTGTCAACAAGTAAAAACATCTTGATAAAATATTCTTTAAAAATCCACTCCTCTTTGCTCTGAGGATTCTTGAGAAAATATTTTTTTAAAATCCACTCCTCTTTGCTCTGAGGATTCTTGAGAAAATATTCTTTAAAAATCCACTCCTCTTTGCTCTGAGGATTCTTGAGAAAATATTTTTTTAAAATCCACTCCTCTTTGCTCTGAGGATTCT